CACCACCTGGGAAGCCCAGGATAGCACATGGGTGGTCTTAATGTAAGAGCTGGGGAAGAGCATAAAGGGTTTTTCTGGAGCGTAATAAGAGTCCTCTAACTGGAGAAAAAAACAAAAAAACACATGTTCTGAGATTCCAGGTCCATTTTGAGTCTTCCCTGAATGAATGGGAGAATGTCAAGGCTCTGCCTTACTAGTTAGCAGTTCTCTACAGTTTCAAAAATACTCTCCTAGATCCCAGTGGGCACCAACATGCACCCAAACAACCAACTCAAAACTCAATAAGAAACCCAAATTTCTCACCCAATCTATCATCCAAACCATTCGCTTATACCAATATTATCTAACAAAGATGTTTCAGTTAAACAGAATTGTTTTAATACAGCTAAAACATCTGCTGCATTTTATAATAACCTCCCTGCTGTTGCAACATATGGCAGCATCAGACTACTTTATTCCAGGGCCCTCAGAGCTTCTGAGACACCTCAAAATGCCATATCATCATAAGTAGGTTTATGCAACTCTCAAAGGTGAAAGAAAAACAATTAATTCATTTTAATATTTAAAATAAACATGGGCCATTTGGATCATTTGGGAAGAGAGGGGGGGATTACAAAAATTATAATAATTAGAATCTTACTCCCCAAAGAGAGATTTCCTAAAATGTAGCTTCCAGATGGAAAATTCTGCATCAGGTCTGAACAAGACACGTTCTCAGCTTGCGCTAGTGTCTTCTGAATTGGAAAAGAGTCCTCCTCCTACTTGACCACCTGATGTGAAAAGCCAACTCACTGGAAAAGACCCTGATGCTGGGAAAGATTGATGGCAGGAGGAGAAGGGAGCGGCCCAGGATGAGATGGTTGGATAGAACCACCGACTCAATAGGCATGAATTTGAGCAAACTTCAGGAGATAGTGGAGGACAGAGGAGACTGATGTCCTGTGTCCTCCACTATCTCCAGGAGTTTGCTCAAATTCATGCCTATTGAGTCTCAAAGAGTCGGACAAGACTTAGTGACTGAACAACAACCACAACCTCTTCCTACCGAGTTTTGAATGGGGGTCACAATGAGCACTGTCCCTTTACTTGTATACAGCAGAATTATGACAGTGTGACTCTCATGTAGGCAGAAGTGAAGCCAGGAGCGGAAGTGAGAGCTCAGTAAAACTCAGTGAGATAGACATGAATCAGAAGATCTTATCTCCCGGCCATCGTGCTGGATAAATGCCAGAGAATCAGATGAATGATTCTTTAATGATTCTTTAATCAGTTCTTACTGGCCATGGAAAGAAAGAAATGGAGACTTGTAAATGTTACAGAGTGTGAGAGATTCTATGAGAGAGTTGACTTTAAGACATGTTGGAGGCACAAGGGGAGCATTTCACCTCAACCTAGGGAGGTGAAAGCAAGCTTCACGGAAGGAGTGATGCTGAAACATAATATTCAGGGTAGAGACGTTACACTGAAATTAGCGAAAGGAAGGTGGGCTTCCCGGGCTGAAAGAACCAAATCATGTAGAGTAGGGAAACAGCCGTTCAGGGAGCTGATGGCCACTTGGCTTCAGGTGTGAGGCGAGGAGGTGGAGAAGAATCCAAGGAGAAAGGAAAGGGGTTAGATCTTGGAGGAACCATGGGGCCACGCATGGGGGTCTGGGTTTCATCTTGCGGGGAATGCTACCACTGAAGTGTTTTCCTGCAGAGAAGGGTGACATCAATGTCATTATCATTACAGCATTCTCCGTAATAGGCCTTGAGTGCATCCTCTGCCTTGGACTGAGAACTGTTCCTCCTTCATCTCACCACAACCCTGGAGAAAGGTAAAATCATTATGACCATCTTGAACCAGGGAAGTTGCTCAGTCATGCCCAACTCCTTGTGATCCCATGGACTGTAGCCTACCAGGCTCATCCATCCATGGAATTTTCATCTTACATGGAATGACCATCTTACACTCACAAAAATCAAGGTCTTTAGAGGAGGGGAGTTTGTCTGATTTCCCACAATCAGGACACAGGAAGTAGGACTGGAATCCAGATCTTTCAGACATTGACAACTGTGCTTTTGAACCCTATAGTGTGCTGGTCCTGAACTAGACTGGGCTTCAGGGATGGAGAACAGCTTAGAGAAGGAAAAGCTGGAGCCCAAGAGACCAGACAGGTAAGCGATGCTTAGTATGCCCTGTATTTGTTACAACTGATGACAAAAATTGTTAAAAAAAAAAAAGACAAAGTCCTGTCACCCAGAAAACTGAGCCAATATGAGCTCAACTTCTTGAAGCCAATCATCTAAAATAAGAATGTCAACATTTGGGCCTATTCAGTAGTTTCTTCCTGCTATTGTGCCAGGTACTATGGAAAGGAAGAGGGGTGCTATAAAGCTGAGAACCAACATCAAGGAACTTTGTTAAAAACCTAGTTTAGAAGAGACCTTGAGAAAGAGTTTTAGCATTTTGCTGGTTTCTCCTGCCTGCTTGCTCTTGACCTTCAGAACAATGGCTGCAACCTCAGGTTATCCAAGGAAAAAGCCTGATTTTCAGGACTCTGAGTCTCGAGGCTCAGAGCTCTTTCAAGTTCACCAAGATAGGAAGAAGGTAAGCAAGCATTTCAAATTCTGGGCCATCTCATTTGAAAGCCTTGCCTCCTCTGCCCATCTACCATTGAGGAAGTTTTCAGGGATAAAGGAAACCTGAGTGAGAGATCAATATCAGTGGAAAGAAACTTTAGCATTGAATGATTCAGAGCCAGTTAGCTTAGATACCACCATGCTGAGGGCAGCGGGTGGAGTGGGGTGAGGGGTGGAGGGTGGGAGGTGGGGGGAGAAGGGGATGGTCAATATACCAGAAATACTTTATCAGAATTGCATACACAGAACTGTAACAAACTCAGAGCATATTTTACTTAATCCTCAGAACAAAGAACCTTCCACCAAAAGAGCTTCTTCTCATGCTTCATCATAAAATAATGAAGCTGACTTACAGTTTTCTATTGTTTCATATGTGTCCTCTTATTGGAAGCAGAGACAATGCTGAAGAAAAGATATTGGACCAAATAAGGAGGAGGAACCTAAGATCGAGAGTTAAGTGGTTAAGGCGGCCAACTAGGAGGTGATATGGCCGAGGTATGAATTCTATGGGACTCTCTTGGTCCCTTAGATGATAAAGAATCTGCCTGCAATGCAGGAGACCTGAGTTCTATCCCTGGATCAGGAAGATCCCCTAGAGAAGGGAATGGCTACCCACCCCAGTATTCTAGTGAACTTTTCACTGCATTTGATTTGTCACTTGTTCTCACCTTTGGGTATTATTTTCTTCCTCCTATTATCAACTTAAGAAAAAATAAAGATTAGAGAGGATGGAGGAAGGTCTGTGCATCATGTCAGATTGTTATATCACAGGGACTCAAAGACAATGAACTTGAAGAATGGGAAAAGAAGAAAAGTCTTATGAGTACAATAAAGCAATCATTTTTGATGTCTCCAATATTTCATAAACATTGAATAAAAGACTGAGTTTCCCAGACAACTTATCCACAGTTGCAGTTCTGGCTGTGATAGTGCATCGAGAACAGTTGATAAATCATTAATCTGCAGCACTGTCTGAATTGGCATAGATCCCATGGAGAGAGTGATGTGCCAGTCTAGCAACTGCTCTGTTTTACAGGGCAACATAATGTATATGTGTATATAACCTGGGAGATATCGTGTTTATTGCACAAAGTGATTTCTTCCTTAAAGCAATTTTTCTAAATTATTTTACAGTGATGCTCAGGGCGACTAAAATAAATCTGTTATGAGGTTCCATAGTTGTTTTAGACATCAACTTAGAATTGTCCTAATTCTAAATCCTATGAAATCCATGTAGGAGCGGGAAATTCAATAATTTTTCTGTGCCCCTGGCAATAACATATAGCACTGGGAGTTGCATTTTGTCAGATTGCACCTTATCTGTCAGCCTCATCCATTATCAAACAGACCTGGCTTTGCTTACTTCAAAGATCCATGTTTTACTGATGATTTAATGAGATTAAGATAAAATATGTTCCATTTTTGAAGCTATTTTCTTTATAATTTCCCAAACCAGTATTGCACAAAGCTTAAAATAACAAGCATGTATCCACAGATGTAGCTTTTAAAAACAAAGCCTTGTAAGGTAGAACTAATATATCTATTGAGCCTAGGAGTCCCAAGAGTATATAAACAGTCTGAGCATAAAATATGTTCATTCTATAACCAACTTTAACATATTCCTGTTATTTCTATTTGAACATTACTTTCAGAGGCAGAGATATGCATTAATTCTTATATATGAAAAATTAAAATAGAAGAAAATATTTTTTAAAAGCTAATTTTATCTTTGAGAAACATATCATTTGAGGTCAAAACTATTTTTTAAATCCTTATAACACCCACCTAAACAAGATGTCCAAGGAATTCCTTTATTTTAACCTCTTCCAGCTAAAACTCATGGTCTCCACTTTGGACCAAGCTGCTTTTCCTATTGCATCCCCTATCTTGGGACTGGTATCATGTTCCATAAAATTTATTGTGTTCAATGATCTCTTCTGAAAATCAGGATGAGTTATTAGGAACTACACATGTACAAGATTTTTCCCTGAGCTTCCTATAATTTGAATTGCTATGTAGTGAAAATTTTATTTGAAATAACAATTTATAGTTTGAGAAAAGAAGAATTAAAGATGAGAATACGAATGGTTTTCAGAAACCATAGCGTTTTCCATAAACACAGATATCAGTGAAAAGCGTCAGGAAACCACTTTATATTTAGACTCATTTTATTTCTTATGGGGAACAATTGAGTGTGGAAACTAAGACCAATTCATTTTGACCTAAGAGTCTAACATAACTATTTCAGCCTCTGTAATCCCATGACACAGACTCTGAGACAGCACTTGCAAGGCAGCATGTGTTTGGGGAGACAAAATCTCTATGGAATTCAGAGACTGGCTAAGTGATCACCAAGCACAAGGTCTTTTCGGTTGGTACCTGTCTTTGGTTTTCCGTCTCCAGGCGCAGCCTGGCCTCCACACACCTCCGTGTCTCCAGGAAGGCTTGGCGCTGGGCCCGGTCTGACAGGTAACTGATGAAGATTCCAGCTGTGTTCATACACATGAATAACACTGCCTGGGCCACAACCTAGAACAGAATCACAAACATAGCCTGGTCACAGGGATAAAAGAAGAGCTGCCTCCAGGCAAAGAGAATAAGTAAATAAACAAAAACTTCCAAGGTGGGGCTTCCCCGGTGGCTCAGTGGTGAAGAATCCACCTGCCAACGCTGGAGACATGGGTTTGACCCCTGGGTCGGGAATATCCCACATGCCTCGGGGCAATGAAGCCTGTGGGCCACAACTATTGAACCTGTGCCCTAGAGCCGGGGAGCTGCAACTACTGAAGCCTGTGTGTCTAGAGCCTGTGCTCTGCACCCAGAGAAGCCACTGCAACGAGAAACCCACACACTGCAATGAAGAGCAGCCCCGGCTCACAGTGACTATTAGAAAACCCAGGCAGCAACGAAGACCCAGGACAGCCAAAAATACATAAACAGGTATTAAAAAAAATTTCCAAGGTAAATCTTAAGGTAACAATCCAAATGTTTAGTAGCAGTTGAATAGAACCATGCCCCTCATTCAGTTCTCAGGTCAACTTATTCCTACATGCCTTCTTCAACCACCCCATCCAGACTAAAGCTTCTCCCTCCCTAAATCCAGATTTGAACTCAAATTTGAAACCTCAAGCAAAGCTTCCTTCCTCACTCTATCTCACTTATCCCTTCACTAGCTGAAATTTTTAATTTTTAAAAGGGTTGGGGAAGCAGGTGAAAAGACGAGAAAGATTAATAAGAAACAGGAAACATGTTAGTTGAATGGTACTATGGTACCCAGGTTGACTTTGGTACCCAAGTTTTCTCGGGAGAGCATCCAAGTCCTGATGTTCCTAACTCAAGAGAAAATATCACATTTGTCTACTGCTTTCTATTTCCATTGCCATTACCCATCTCCCAGGTGCCAAAGTCTCTTTAACTCTTAAGTTAAACTTTGTATTTTCACATTTGAAATTGAAAGTGTTAGTCGCTCAGTCATGCCTGACTCTTTGGGACTCACTCCATGGGCTATAGTCTGCCAGGTTGCTCTGTCCATGGAATTCTCCAGGCTGGAATACTGGAGTGGGTTGACATTTCCTTCTCCAGGGAAATTTCCAGACCCAAGGATTGAACCCGGGTTTCCTGCATTACAGGCAGACTCTTTACCATTTGAACCACCTAGGAAGCACATTTGCCCTGTTCCAAACTTCTCTCTGGTGAAGAAAAGCAGGAGATTCTGGAAAGGAGTCAATACATGGAAGAAAAAAACCAGCATAGTATGGCTTTCTTGATTTTTATGGCTTTAGATTGAGGGAAGATAATGTAAGGTACAGTTTGAGGGTGAAAAATTGCAATGGGGAAACCCAGTTGGTCTGAAGAAGCAAAAGAATAAGGTTCAGTACCTATGGCTGATTCACACTGATGGATGGCAGAAACCAATACAATATTATAAAATCATTATCCTACAATTAAAAATCAATGAATAAAAAATAGTAAGGTTCAGAACAACCGTAGTTGCTGGAAAGTGATGGGAAAAGCCAACGAAGAAGAGAAACAATGAGGAAGAACATTAAATTCCTATATAAACTCTTTTCTGACCCACATATGCACAGGGCAAACAGCAAATGATCGAGTTAATGGTAAAAGAATTGAACTGAGATTTGAATTGCCGTAAATAAATAAAATTTTAAAAAAGAATACATAAAATATTCCTAAAGGAAACAGCATGGGAGACTTGCAGTACCAGGTAACAGAACTGTTATAACACCGTAATAATTAAGACATCCTGGTATTTACAGGGGGATACAGAAACTGACCAGTGGATGTGAATGGAGAGCCCAGAAACATAAACACACAAACTTGATAATAATGCATTGTAGTTCTAAGGAGAAAATAAGGCCTTTTCAACAAAGGGTATTAGAACAATTTGTTATTCACTTGGAAAATAAAGTAAAAGTAAATTCCTGCCTAATCCAATATATAGGAATACATTGCAAGTGGATTAACGTCTTAAATATGAAAGGTACAAATATTTTACTATTTTGACAAATTTTTAAAATTAAATGCAAAGAATACAAACCATAAAAATAGATTGATACATTTGACAAAATTAAAATTAAGCATTTATATTCATTGAAAGACAGCTTTAATTAAATGGAAAACACTATAAGTAGAGATATTTGCAACACTTATAACTGGTAAAAATTAATTTAAGCTCACATAAAGAACTTGTATAAATCTATAAAAATAAAAGCAATCTTATAGGACATAAAGGAAAAAGAGAAGTGGGGTATTTCAAAGACAAGAGAATATCAACATGAAAATAAGTGTAACAATCTAGGAACTATAAGTTAAAAATCCACACCCATTCTACATCTACCAGGCTGGCACCAAAAAGGAAAAAAAAAATAGTGGGTCATCATCAAGTTGGTAAGGATGCTATTGGCAGTGTGAACTGACATTGCTAATTGGACTTTGCACACTAATCTTGAATTTGCACATCACTAGAGCTGAATCTTTCCCCTTCATACCCAGAGCCATCTTTGCACAAACAGCCCAGGGAACATGCCCAAGAATGTTGAGAACAGCGTTTTCTACAAGGGCTTGAAAGTGGAAATAATCTGAATGTCCACCAACAGTAGAATGGATATTTTAGGATGTATTAAAATACTTAAATACCACTCAGTGGTGTTGATAAATCTAACTACTATTGTATGAATCAAAAATGCTTGTAGAGACTTCCCTGGCGGTCCACTGGTTAAGAATCTGCACTTCCATTGCAGGGGATACAGATTTGGTCCCTGGTCAGGAAACTAAAATCCTGCATGCTGTGTAATGCAGCCAAAGAATATATAAATAAAAATAAGTTTAATTAAGCATCTTAAAAAAGTAGGATTGCCCTACGACTCTTTATCCCTGCACACTGTGCACTTATCACAATTTATATTTATTTGCAAGCTTGGTTGTCTGGTACCTATTTTATCACATTGGATTATTACTTCTGATGTTATAGGATAATGTTTGTTTTACTGTGTACTGATACCTAGTACCTAGCATAGTGGTTGTTAAGTGCTTAAGCACAGTGCCTGTTAAGTGCTTAAGCACAGTGCCTGTTAACTGGCACCTAATATGTGTGGGATATTTGCTGAATGAGTAAATGAATGTATGAATAGCTCTCCTCTGTACTACTCATGATGGACTAATGATCTTAAAATATCAATAATAATGTAAAGTACCCCCCAAAAAAATCTTTGACAAAATTAAAAAATATGTGGGAACTGGAAAAAACCTAAAGTACATGACTTTACAAGAGATAAAGGAGGGGGAAGCATTTCTGATAAAGGGATGCTAGCTATTAACTATGTAAATAAACTACTCAAATTTCTTTATGGCTTTAATATTATTTGCAATCAAAATCCCAAGTGGAATTTTCATTTGGAGCTTGGAAGATGACTTAAAAGTATATCTGAAAGAATGTATGAGTCATAATACTGGAGACATTTTTACGAACGTGATTACAGAGGGTCACTGCACAGCCAGAAGATAATATATATCATTAGGCAACAATAATTAAAACTCTGACAATAGTGAAAACCTCAACTGAAAAATGAGTGACATAAGATATAAAACATAATGAGTTTGTATACAGTACATTACAGATCAATGATTCAGTGGAAAAATAATTGTCAGTAGCAGGATAATTTTTCATCTATTGAAAAAATGGATGATAGCCACCTCATAACATATGTCAAAATAAATGCCAACAAAATAAAGATGTAAATGTGGAAAAGAGACTACCCAAAAAGGAAAATAAAAGAGAATATTGCTTTAATCTAAGCAGAAAAGCATGAGTTAAGTCTCAAACATAAGTAGGTTTTTTATAAAAAATGAAATTATTCTGACATATTGCTGGTGTGGGTGGTAAAGTTTATTCATTTCTTTCCACCCAGTGACCCAACTTCTCGTTATCTATCTTAAAGAAACAATCATATATAGGATCAGAAGTTTCTGTTAAGGGATGTCATTTATTAATGAAAACAAAAAAAAAGGAAATTGTGTATTTTAGGAGTAGGGAAAATGGCTGAATGACTAAGGCATGCATATATGAGGGAATATAAAGTCGCATTAAAACATTTAATGACATGAGCAAACATGTAAGGTACATTAAGATATAATATTAAAACTGTATTACACCACTAACCTATAAATTCAATGTGATCCTAATGCACAGTACAAAAGAAAAAAATATATATATATACTTGCATGTATATGTCCCTGTATGTGTATAAGCATGTGTGTATGTTAAAATAGGAGGAATAGGTTATTCAGACAAAGGCACTTGTGATGATAAAACAAGGTAGTAAAAACAGGAAAAAAACAACAAAAACATGAGGTATCAAGATTGAGAAGAATTACACCCAAAAAGGTGAGCCTAGCATTTGGGGCTTCTTTCTTCCTAAGGGCATCTGCAAATTTCAAAGGAGGCGTCTGAGAGCTTCAGAAGCAGAGCTGAGTGTTCAAGACTCAGGAACCTGGGGAACAAAAGCTGAGAGGAAGCAAAGGTGGAGATGCTGGAGGAGAAGAGAATCCCCAAACAACTTGTATATGGACTTGATCCTTGATCAGTAGTTGACTTCCCAAATATCTACTGTTGCATTTTAGTATCAAATAAGTATCTAACAATACTTAAAATGTTGGATTATTTTTTAAAGCAAATTTTATGTAGGTGCTATTCCATTGTAGAAGCTGCAGATCTGTGTTTCCATGAAAGGAAGGGGTATATATTGCTATGATGCCTCAGGTTGGTTATCTTGTACAATCCCTCCAACCTACAGCTCTCTCTAGATCCCTGTAAGCCGCACTTGTTAGCCACCTCTGCCCCAGAGCCGACATACTGAATGTGAGATGCTTAAGAAACATCTGTTGATCAATGCTTTATTTTTCTACCCTTGCATATCTGTAAACTGATATTGAGAAGTCTTCCTAACCCTTCACTACTAAATAATTTATTTATTCAAAATTATTTATGGAGCAAGTTCTGTGTGTCAGGTACA